CACACACAACAAAAAAAAGTTGGCTAACAAATTCTAACTTTTTTTTTTTTTTTTGTTTCTCACCAGTGAAGATATCCCAAGTTCGAATGCGACCATTGTTAAGACCAGTAGCAAGGATGAGGTCCTTCGAAACACTGAAGTGTGTCCAAAAGGCTTTCGATGACAAGTGTTTCTTATCCGAAGTAGCAGAACCAAAGGCCACTGACCTCACCAAGCACCCACAATCAATAGTGATGGTTTTATGTGGAAGTTTGTGTCCGTCCTTGTCCGTGTCATCTGTCGAAGCTCTGTTGAAATAATGATTACTTGAAGAAAAAAAACAAACTTGCATATTTAATATGTAGCCCACACAAACTTAAGAAATGTCTATAATATTTCAACAATTCTAACTAGAAAATGTATTTCATGAAAGTTTCATTTGAATTTATTTAATATTTCTTTGCAAGAAAAGTTATATGCTTTATCTTTTATGATTTAAAATTTTTTTCATTCCTTTTCAAGATGCTTTTTACGCCCCTTTTTTTGTTGTTGTTGTTGGAATTGTTTGGTTTGTTTTGAACTTTTGTGCAAAGCTACACGAGGGCTATTTGCCCTAACCAGCCCTAATTCAACTAGAGAAAATGCAGCTAGTTAACACTACCCTCCTCGGCTACTCTTTCCAACAAATAGTGGGATTAGGGATTGACCGTCTAATTATAACAACCCCATGGACGAAAGGGACGAGCATATTTGGTGCGATGGGGGTTCAAACTCAAGACCCACAGATTGATGTTGTTGGAAAAGTATGTTATTAATAATAAACCTTCTCTATTAAAGTAAATAGGGTTTCTTTTAGATTTCAGATAATATTGCTAAAATTTATACACAATATTGCAATGGAGAACATTATATATGTACACTTGTACTGTATATTACCCAGATATATTTGTTCTTATATAAAATTCCATCAAGGAAAGTCAAAAACAAAAATTATACAAAATATATTAAAACTGCTTTTGCAAACATATATAAAATATATATTTTCAGGGAAGATTTTATTGAAATAATTTTTGCAGTTTCATTGAGAAAACATAACGAAAAAATATAAAGGGATCAAAATTCAGGAAATTCATCCACACACTTATTTTATCAAATACAAAGTAAATAGTTCTAGAACAATGCACAACACTGAATCTATTCACTGACCCAACTTTACGTTAAAAATGGTAAGCATTGATATATAAACTTACAAGTGGCCTTAATTTTAAACTTTCACGTAACAACATGAATTATAGGTCCAAATAATAACTTTCCCCCTCGTAATTTCATTTAATGTTCTGTTGTACTTCAACAATGATTTCACCGTGTATTACAAAACCCTATTTATGTTTGGTGATTAGACGATATCGTGAATGTTGAACTATGCTTAGTTACCGTTGAACCTAAGATTAGGGTGTTCTTTTAAACAATCTTTCACGTGTTAATCTCCAGCTCTTGTGGCTGACCTCTTGACCTTTACATTTTAATCTACATCACACTTGTATTCATATTACTTGAAATTTGTTCCTTCACAATTTGTAACGGGACAAAATTCAAGTAACAGAATACAAGTGTGGTGCTAGTTATAGTCTCCGGGGTGAAGTACTAATTCTGGTTCAACTTCAAACTGTTTAATACTGACGTCATCTTTTGTCCTTATGAATGTTTGAAACTATCGGTACACCTTCAACTAGTAAAAGCTTTTAAAAATGTACGTTGTAGGTTTAATCAGAGTTTCTCAAGTAACACTAAATAAAACAACAACCTTACATGATCATCATTGTAGTCAACAAGATAATAACACATCTTTCTCAGATGGAACTCAATACACGTTATGTACTATAAAAACGTTGAAATTTTATATTATGACAAAATGTCCATTCATGAAAATCAAAACCTAATTTGTTACCTCATTACAAACTTTTCTTTAACTGAAAACACGCACAAAACACCAACTTTACAGTTTCGATTATTAAGAAAACTACGACGCTCAATAGATGGCAGCACCGATCACATACAATCACTTCTTTTGTGCAAAAACAAACGCCATTTAAAAGTCGGAGCCTATGAACATATGGGAATTTCCATCAAAACGCAAAAAAAAAAAAAAATAAAAAAAAAAATCGAGTAACTCCTGAGTTTCCTCTATACGCCAACATTGTGAAGAAACAGGACATCGACCTATGTTATTATTTTTTCTATCCTCTGCAAGTCTAATACTGACCTGGAATTATTGATTAAAGAAACCCTCCACATCAAACAGTACTCTCCAACACTGAACAACGGGCAGTCTTCATTTAAATTATACATTTTTTTAATATATTCGTATTACTGGTTTTACTCTTTTGTTGCTAGTGTGTTTTCTTGCTGTAGTTTCTCCTGATGATTACAGTTTTGTGGTTTATTTGTTTAATCATCGTTATACTTAGCAACTGTACTTTGACAATGTATAAAGACTGATGTAAATTCATTTTATTCTGCTTTAGATACTGAAGATGGAATCTGATAGAATTCCGAAACGTTTATCCATATCCCCTTTTTGCCAATAAACAATGTTGTATATCATAAGTGTCGTAATCTTGTTTATAATCAAACTTCGTTTTCCTTCAAACACATCGACTTTTATTTTAACATTCTGTAACTTCAGAGTGAAAGTTCAACGTTATCGCAGACTTCTGGGCCAACTTTAAATAGGGTTTGTGGTGTGGTGATAAGTAAACAATGTCTTGGGTTATTCTTAGAGCCTCGAGGTGTAGACTGGAATCTTGGATGAGAAAAAAAACGTATAAACCACAGAGCCGACTCTGATCTAAACAATAAGAAAAGAGTATTCTCGGGTCATTTGAAGCGGCATAAAGGGATCGACATAAAAAGTTTTTATCCTTAGTCGCGTTTTGCGTTTGAAGGCTCGTTTCCGCCAGTGTATCTATCTGCGTGACGAGTTGCACGTGCACATTACCAAGGCGATTCACGTGGCATTCGGTTACTATGGTTGACGTCTAGCGAGTCTTTCTTGCATGAGCAACGAAATTTGCATTTGTGCCTAATGTAAACGTGTGCAGTAGTTACACAATAACCTTTGGTTGTCTCTGTAGTATAAATCAGCCAAGTATTACAGAGGCTTCTACGGGTGCGTTTGCCACAAGTTGTGCAATACCTGTGGGTTTACTTACTTGTAGAGTTTTTAGGAATTTAACGTCTACAAGAGAGAAAAGTTACCACATGGTAACAGCCTAGATAGAACAGAGCCTTCACATGACGCCAACAACTCGAAGGTTTCGGTCACCTTAATATATCTAACATTTCATGGGTTCAGAGTTCCAAAACTCTACAGCATACACTACTGCTACCTAGGGGGCACTGATCTTCAGAGTTCACGAAATGTTTAATCACGATTAAATAAAGGGTGCCCCCCCCAAAAAAAAGAAATTACCCATCCTTTAAATTATGCAACTTCTGGATACTGATTCTAAAAGTGTTTTTTTTTATTATTATTATTATTTCCGAAATGGGAGGATGTCTAAAAAATAAACCCAAAACTACCGACTGATTAAAGCAACAGATCACAAGTGGTTTCCACCGAATCCGGGTTGAAAATTGTGTAACAGCATGACAAGCACTCCGTCGTAGATGTTAGGTTTGTTTGAATGCTGGTGCAGTTAATTTGTTGTATGACGTATTTAATAGTGACGTTTTGCTGGCTTGTAGGTTCATTTACTTATATACATACGAGTATTGGAAATGAAGATACATTTTTTGGGCTACCCTGTATATTCACAAAGACAGTTAGGGATAATTTCCACTAGCTAGTTGTCATTTCTTGGTAACTTGTAATGTTACAAACCAACGAGGTGAAGTGTTCACCTACTGTATGTAACATGCTACATTTACCAGTTCGTAAAGTTCTATAGCCTTAAGATCAAAGGACGAGGCTACACACGTTTAGAGTACGGAGGTTGAGTTGTGCCATGTTTCACGGTACAGAGGTTAATTTGGGCCATGTTTACACTACACGTGTTTTAAAAATAACTTCACTCAGCTAAAGTACAACAGTGTTATCTGTCGGTCGGAAACTTAACACAAATAGACGTACCAATTACACACTTAAACATGTCTAAACATCGCCACGGGGGGAGGGGGAGGGTATTAGCTTGGTTTCACATTTTCTACAGAAACGTAAATACTTGATAGAGGGAAGAAGACGGCACCAATGAGAAATTCTTGGACTACTCTCGTCCAATCAAACAGCGGGATCCGAACGTCGCTTTCATAGCACATCTACATCCACACCCCACAGAGGTCGTTCGAATCACTTTCAAAACTTGGAAATAATATTCCAGACCTTGGACCACGCGCTCATAAGTTGAAAACTCCCCATAGCGAAATAACAATATTCGAAGTTCATTTTCCCTAACGGTTTAACAAAAATCGCTAAGAAGTGTTAAGAACAGCTCCACTCTACGAAATTTAGGGATGGGTGTGGGCCTTACAGACTACAGCCAAACTCCCCCCTTTGTTTCTGATGCCTATACAGTTCATAGACGAATGAACTGAAAAACTTTTCTTTAACATTACGACAGTTTTGCTGGACCATGACCATAAAATAAAGTGTAACTGAGAAAGGCGCGTCTCGAACGTGCAGTGAAGTCATCTTTACAGTTTTATACATCTCACTTGAACAGGGTTGAAATTAAATTTGTCAAACTCGAGTAACGCCTCGAAAATACTGCAAGTCACGAGGCTTTAAGAACGTATAGAATGCTACAATTCAACACTATACTTTGATGGTCGTATAAATACGATGTACGCAGCCTGCAGTTCAACACCGACTGATTCAGCACGTTACAAACCTATCAAATTACACAAAATAACCTTGCCGTGTTGTACAGTGTCAAAGATAGAAATGTCTGATACTCTTAATGCTCGTGCGCTAACAACAACAAAAGGTCAATGTTCCCTTTGATATGAAACCCGAAGTTCAGCATTGACCCGTGGTTGCTTTATTAGACTAATTTCGTCAGTAATGGTCAGTCTCGACGAAAAGCTATTTTCTCACGTAGATTAGAAATGCTTATAAATCTCAACATTACGTCATTAATATACAAACGTTGTTTAACTTGATTTTAATATAAAGAACGGGTCAGACTTCGGGAGAAGGCAAAGTAACCTAGCAGGCACGCGCGCTTGGCAAACCCAATTAAAACGTCTATCACGTTTCCTTTTCCAAGTGGTCTCGTACGTATTATTCGTTGAACTATTCATTCTACGTGTGCTCAACTTGCATACACGTACATATCGCGTGCTTTACTTAGATACACGTACCTATACGCGCAACCTGCTCGCATTTTACATAACGTTGAAACTTAAAAGATAAAGAAAGACGACCGGCAAAATGAATAACATTTATTTACATAAACGTTTCGAATTGGACGAAATCGACATTCAACTTATCCTAAACAGGGTAATACAAATAAGTTCGAGTTCTCAACTAATTCAGTAACAAGTTAACAAAGTACTAGTTTCAAACATTTGGATTTTGGAACGCGTAAGCTAAACGCAAGAAATAGAGTGGATAGAACTGGTACGTAGCGTGGCGGGGCGAATTAAAATAACTAGTTTTAGGGGGTACGGGTTGTTGTTAAGAGCAGGGTGAATTTATTAAGATAGTTTATTTGGTTAGCAGTTCCAGATCGATATACTAGTGGCTTAGATTTTACGTTGGTTCAAATTAATATTGTGATAGCTATTCAACTTGGGATTTCCAAAAAATGAAATACCAATATCCAAGGGCGCTCCACGTGATCGTGGGCACGTACGGCAAAATGGCTACGAGTTGAACCGACGTAGGTGGCATATAGTGACATACAACCCAAGAACGCGTAAGAATATTTGTTTTTGATGGAATAAGCTATATTTTCTATATATGGAATAAGTTATATACTTTCTATTCTAGAAAATACGCTGGTAACGTTGAAATTCGTCGCTACTTATTTTTTTTTTGTGGGGTCCCCAGAGCGCTTACGACTGTTGGGACACCTCAGATGCTAATGCATCCAAGGTGGTTCTGGGCAGATTTACCCGGTGGCGCCCCTAATTTAGCATAGAGAGAGAAGTTACCCAGTCAACACCATCCACTGCTAAATCTTGGGCTACTCGTTCACAATTGAATAGTTGGATATTGACCTTCACAATATAATGTTAACGCGAAGCTACGCAATGGACTATCTGTGCTGTGCCCAAAGCGAGTATCGAAACCCGGTTTTTGGAGTTATAAGCCTTCAGACTTACCGTTGAAGTTAACTAAACACTTGGCGCCCATACAACCTTGAAACAGTGTGTAGTATAAATATAGTAGTTGAAAATGGCAAGAAGCCAACCTGTTACAAACTGGATTCCGGACAAGGAGAGAGAGAGAGGGTTGGGTGTACGTGTGCGTGTTTAGAAGTAACTTAAAACCGTTTTCATAAAACCCTTTACTTCATATGCATATCCTCCCCTGACAAACCAGCGGTTGTAATTAGAAATCAATACATAATTCATGGCTATTTTACGACGTAAAAATACTTTTTTTTTATTATCGTTTTACGCCAATGTTTTTCATGCTTTCCCAAACTATGATTCACGATCCAACTGCGTAGTTGGAGATTTTGCTTTTCCAAAAAAAACGCATCAAAATCCCTATTTTATGATCTGAAAATAAAAAGGTTATTTTATGATATCTTAATTTGGGAACCGCTGTTTAGGGTTTTGTTTGTAATATATTGGGAGGATTTGATCTGATAGAAGGTAACGTCCGGGTAAACTAAAGGTTAGTGGATTTATTAAAACTATTATCTCCAGTCAAATCAAATCTCCAGGAAATCGTTTAGCATTCCTGGATTGAAAGAAAAAAACTTAAGTTCTTGTATAACCACTAGTAGTTATTTGAAATATGATATCAGGTTATAATAGTAGTTTTCTCTACTAGATACAAAAAAGTCTACTAATTATGCTGTACTAATACAAGATTCTTTGATAGATGACATATCGGTGCAGTGAGACTTCTTGGTCAAGATTTAAGATTGTCCGACAAGGTTAGTCTTAGCCTATCTGGAGAAAAACCGTTTGTCCCCGTTCCAGAGAGTAAGGGGGGAGGGGGGCTGAATGTGCCCGTTGTTGTTTTTTTTAAGGATTATACGATTTTATTACATTTCCCTGTTACATAATTTTTATTATTATTTATTTTTTGTTATTTATTACAAATACTAGATTTCAGCCCATTGTTTGGGAAATGTACGTTTTTCTTCTGGAGCCGAGAATAACTTAGGATCTACATTAAAAAATCTGACACAAGATACATAGCCGAATCTTATGTATCGCTTTATTTTACCAAATAAAACAAACAGTTCTTCACGGTTGACGTTCCATGTTCGCTAAGATACCAATAGAGGTCACTGTACTTCCCTTTACACTTCGTTAGTCAACATTGACGGTCAACAAATATCAAGTGAAGCAAGACATCGCGCAAAACAGTCGTGGAGCGGGAAATAACACACAATTATAAGGAAAGAAGATTGCCACAGATAGAACAACATTTTGTAATACCTTACGCTTTAAGTGTTTAAATACTGTGTGCAACATCATGTGTAAAACTGCCCAGATAATGAAATGTTATTATAATATGCATGGCTGATTCTACGTATAACTAAGTGTAAAACTATGTTTAGGGTTAGAAGCCTAGAATCATATTTAATACGCTTAACAAACATGTTAAAGCTATATATACTTTAACAGTAAAACAAAGGCTTATAAACAGAAAGGCAGACATTAATTAAATTACAGCGTGTTCGTAAATTGTTGAAACACTTTAATTGAATAGAATAGGAACAACTGGCGGTAAACAGTTGTAATTCTTGCTATTGGAAGACTGACGTCTGAAGTATTTACCCACCCAACAGTTTAGATGGGTTATGTCTATAAAACGAATATATATGTCTATATGTCAATAACCAGCACAGTTGTGACCACTAGTAAACTTCATGCGTTTCGCTACGGGGTTCAAAAACCCCCATCCGCCCCCAAAGATCCCAATGTTCCGAACAAGCTTCTCCATTATCACCAACTACTTCTACACCTACCCCATGTGGGGTCCGTACCCGAAAACAGAACCCGTTAGAACACCTACGTCCGATACGATAACTTGTGAGGGGGGTGGGGTGAACACATTTTCAAACATTCCCGGGGGAATTCAGGTTCAACTACTCCGAAAACCTATTTACATACTACATGTCTGGGTGATCTTAACTCCCCTTAGAAGGGGGGAAGGGGAGGCTACGCCATGTAGATAAGGACATCATCTCAACCGTGGGGAGTCCACATACCAAGTTTGTTCCACCTAGCTTCAAAACTGTTGGGGGGAGTTCGTGGAGAAACAAATACAGAACGTGGATTAATATAGGATGGAGTTCGTGGAGAAACAAATACAGAACGTGGATTAATATAGGATGCTGGTACATATGCAGACGAGATTGATTATCTTCTAGTCATCCTTGGATCCACGAACGGCACACCGCCGTCTCATTATATACCACAGCTGTACGTACTTCTTAATAAAATAGTTCAAGGTCTTCCTGTATAACAAGACGTTGTAGAAACAATAAATGAACTTAAATCACCAATAAAACCAAATGTTTACCGATGGAAATTGAAAATAAACTTAAAGTTAGCTGAACGAGAATGTATGTTTTGTTTGTTTGCTTGTTTTAATTTCGCGCAAAGCTACACGAGGGCTATCTGCGCTAGCCGTCCCTAATTTAGCAGTGTAAGACTAGAGGGAAGACAGCTAGTCATCACCACCCACCGCCAACTCTTCGGCTACTCTTTTACCAACGAATAGTGGGATTGACCGTCACAATATAACGCCCCCACGGCTGAAAGGGCGAGCATGTTTTGGTGGGACCGGTTTGCAAGTCGAGCACCCTAACCACCTGGCCAGGCAAATGAGAATGTAGAAACACCACCATTACAGTAAGTAGTAATTTGAGATGAAACCCTTTTCAATACACACACACACACACAATAAAACACGTTCAGAGGCTAAAACAGGTGGTAAACACACCTTTTATGTATCATATTAAACATGCAACTCCTACAACTCCACATTGCTCGTGAAAAATAGTAAAACCAATTAACCACCACTTTCACGTGCTTATTAGTACTCTTAAAACTACCAAATGCAACCGTAGGAATAAAAATTACGAGTGGTTAAGTGTAATATATATTATACAGTGAGAAAATACAATTATCTAATTATGAAGAAAAAGTAGTACTAGCCAAGATACATCTGAACCTGTAAGTAAACAATCTTACCTGATTCCTGGCTTTGGAAGAACTAACTGTGCCAAGACCTCCGACAACTGTGGCCTAAATAATTCGGGGATGAACAAAACAAAAATCACTATTTAACTCACCTGTTTGTTGTTTCAATCTTTACTTAATTCTACTATAAAACAATAGGGGGCTGGCACAAAGTATGTTAGGGAATAAAAAATGGGAGAACCACACACAATGTACAGCCTTATCACTTGACACAGGTATATAATTGGTTATGAAATGACATCACTAAGAACTGCCCAAACTCAATGATTCCTCGATTAGCACCATTCTTACACCAATCCAGCAAGAAGTCAACATTACCTGGTGCATGTAACTGTTTTATGCTGCTGTCTGTCGTGACCTCTCTTGCCTTAAGCCTAATTAAATGAACAGAGCATGTTGACGATTTGATGCAACTTGTATGGATATTACTGTAATCTTATAATTAAATAAAATGTTTCAATGTCACCTTTTACTGTCACTTTTTTTTCTTTCAAGATTGTTATTTTTATATCCCTGTATCAACCGAGGAGCTGTTGGCTGTGTGGTTTATACACAAAAATGTGTCACTCCCATATACATTTAACTTTCCTATAGATAACTGAATTTTGCTGACAAATAACTCAAGATAAATTTTTAGTACGGCTTCAATTTGTTATTCTATAAAGTTTGTGATTTGTCTTTGTATGAATACAGTATCTTGTTTAAAAATATAAATCTTACCCCAGAAAAATCTTTTGTTTTAAAATCCTTACTACTGATTTCTTAATTCGTGTATGTCATCAACTTTGAGCTTTTTTTCTGTTTCAACCCATAATTATTGTGGGTTGTATGTCATCAACTTTGAGTTTTTTTTCTGTTTCAACCTAAACTTATTGTGGGGTGATGTAGGAACTGACTTCCTCCCTTTACACAAATCTGTGAGGGTTGTGAGTGATTGTTCAAATTTAATAAATAAATGTGACATTTAATTTATTTTTAAGAACTTTTTGTTGGATGGAGAAGTCTAATACTAATGTTTACCTTCCTAAAATATTTGATATTTCCATGTTGTGTATATTTGACCGAACTGAGGTTTTAATCAAACAGACTCAGGGGTCATGTCATCCCTAGGTTCTGTTAGTCCACACTCACCGAACTGAGATTCCAACCAAACAGACTCAGAGGTCATGTCATCCCTAGGTTCTGTTAGTCCACACTCACCGAACTGAGATTCCAACCAAACAGACTCAGAGGTCATGTCATCCCTAGGTCTGTTAGTCCACACTCACCGAACTGAGATTCCAACCAAACAGACTCAGGGGTCATGTCATCCCTAGGTTCTGTTAGTCCATACTGACCAAACTAAGGTTTTAACCTAATAGATCATGAAGACATGTCATCCCTAGGTCTGTTAGTCCATACTGACCAAACTAAGGTTTTAACCTAATAGATCATGAAGACATGTCATCCCTAGGTCTGTTAGTCCATACTGACCAAACTAAGGTTTTAACCTAATAGATCATGAAGACATGTCATCCCTAGGTCTGTTAGTCCATACTGACCAAACTAAGGTTTTAA